ATTCTGTAGAAATTTCCAAAGAACAGTAATGGCGATGTTGCGGCAACATGGCCAAATGTTGCAACGTTTGCAACAACAGCAGCAACAGCCGCAACAACAATTGCAACAGCAGCCGCCACAGCAGCCGCCACAGCAGCCGCCACCGCAGCCGCCACAGCAGCCGCCACAGCAGCCGCCACAGGAGCTGCAACAATCGCAGCTGCAACAATCGCAGTTGCAATCACAGCAGCAGCAGCCAAATGGTATGTTATTTATGTAAATAAATATAAATTATATATTTATTTAATAATTATTAAGCTATATTATATATATTTAACATTTAGTTGTAATAAAATTATAATATTATTTTGATTTTTGCAGTATATCGTCGAGGACAAGGGCGTGGAAGGAGCCGCGCCCGTTATTATAACCAAGGCGGCAGAGGTAGTTGGAATAGCAGAGGCGGCGGTGGTCGAGGACGCGGCCGAGGCGGCAGAGGAAGCGATGGAAAGACCTACATTATAAAAAAATATTTTAATTATTAATTTTTATATTTAGTAATATGTTATAATATATAATAATATATAATAATATAATATGTATTATGTTATAAATTAATAAAATTAATTATGTTGTGTTAATTATATTATAAACATATGTTATTTTTATTTTATATCCGACAATTTCGTTTTTATCTCATTATCCACATTGTTTATTTTCAAATTTAAATTGGCTCCTAATTTGCTTTTCATATTACACTTCTTAAAGATCCATTATTAATTTTTTAATTTAATCAGAAATAAAAGTTTTTGAACTGTTTAATTCATTTTATATATAAGTGTTCAGTATGACCGGCAGTTCTATCATTTTCATCATTTTTATTTCTAAACGATTATTATTATTATTATTATTATTTCTAAACGAGTGACTAAGTTTAATCTCCTAAAGTAGAATTACATGATTTTACTATAATAAAACTGTTCCACTTTAATTGAGTAAATGATATACAATTTTAAGGTCATATTTTCTTAAAATTAGTTATAACTTGGATTGTATTAGTTGTGGCATAGCGTATATTTAATTATTCGGACTTATTTCATTGTTATCTTTTAAATTCACATTTCAAAGACGAGTCAGGCCAGAATGTATTTTGATTTAATAATTGGTTCTAGTTTAGTTAGCATATACATGCTTACAATGATGCATATGTACGTTTAAATCACGTGTAGTTAGAGTTTTAAGTGTTAATCAATTTTTTTTGTTTCATTTTCCTTTTCAAATCCAGAGACAATTTTTTCAAGTTAATATCAATATGAGCAAATTTAATTCACATTATATAGAAGAGTCCTCAGTCTTGGTATGACCAATAGTTCTATAGTTATCTACATC